CGCCCGCTGGTCCCTCTCAGCTCCCGACGGCGGTCATCTGCTCGCCATTCAGGCCGTCCTTTGATCTTCCTCGGACACCAGGCCTCAATTCGAGCCCTGATCTCACTCCGATGACTCAGCAGTTTGTTTTTTGGGCCTCCGTGGAACCCTGTTGGTCTAACACAGGGGTGTCCAACTCCGGTCCTTAACTCATTGGCTGCCAAAGACGTCTATAGACGTCTTTTTATGTTTTTCAACGAGAGTGGCTTGGGGGACGATCTGCTAAAGCTTGTCCGTAAATATCAGGCTTCTAGACAGAGTATGTAGTAACAAACTGACCCTCTAGGGGGCAGTGCCACTTTTGATGGGACATGAGCATAGACTGTAGGCAAATAAGAAAAAGGTAACGGTTCTATGAGAGAACATGTCGCCGGTGAGACGCAAGTCCAGGAAGAACGGAATAAGGTAGAAACACATTTTTTTTCGTGATGAAAGAAGAGAGTCTACTCTTTCTTTTGGTGTGTTCGGTGTTTACATAGTCATAGCACAAACTATTCTGTGGCTCTTGAAAAATCAGTCAAAATGCTCAAAAAAACTCTGGCAGTCAATGAGTTAATGTGGGCCACTGTCCTGCAGGTTTTAGAGGTTTTCCCTGCTTCAGCACACCTGATTCTGATGAATAGGGTCAGTTCAAAGGCTCTGCACAAGTCTGATAACCCACACACACGGTGAATCGGGTGTGTTGAAGTTGGGAGACTTCTAAAAACGGCAAGACGGCGGCCCTCCAGGACCGACTTTGGACATTCTCATTTTTTGTTGAACACTTAGTCCTTGTTGAACAAAATCAGAATTACTCAACAAGGCGGGCACGAGGTGGAGACTTTAAACTCCCTCGACCCGTGGACAAACACTCTAAAATCCACAGTCCATTATAGAGCCGTGTTTCACTGGAACCAACTGCCAATAACCACACGAACAGTTAAGAACAGAACAAGCTTAAAAAATATCGTGTCTTCAGAACTACTGCAAATGATAACATGAACTGACCGGTGTGTATATGTTGTATAGTTCTGCTCTTGTTTATGTTTTTATTATTTCCTACTGCGATTTTTATTTTTATTTTTTATGATCTGTTTATAATGTAATATAATTTCTTCATGTGAGGACCCCAGGAAGACTAGTGGCCATTTATTTGGCAGCTAATGGGGATCCTAATAAAACTAAACTAAAACTAAACTAACAGGTTCTGGTTAAAGGCCACCTGAGCTGTCAGAGCTCAGAGGCTTCCTTGTTTGACCCCATCGGTTTGATGACCATCGTCCCAAAAACGTCCAGATGCTGACCCTCTGACGGACAGTTGATCCAGGAAACGCTGCGTTTTTAGCCGGCCTTTGATGGACAGGCCCGATTACACGTTTTGGCAAAGAGGCTGACTCGGCTGTCACCGTATTTAGATTTTTTTTTGCTTTTTTTTGTAATCGTCAGCTCCCCTGAGCGTCGGTCAGCAGGACACATTAAGTCATGAGTCAATCTTGTGAATTAGAGGCCACAGCAGGAGCTGTCTGTGTACTCAGGGCTGTGGCCTGCTCTGCCCTCTTTGTAATCCCAATAAAAACGATTACACCACAGAGGCCACAGACTCTGAGTTCAGCTAAAAAAAAGTGTCCCCTTTAGTTTCCCTACATCCAGGATTATCTAACTGAAGTTAAAGATGGATAACTATTATTCCATCCCCATCAGGGGTTTTTCATACATCTGTCTTGGTGCTCGGATAAGAAAACACTGCGTAGATTTTTGAAAAAGCCTTAAATAAGTGAGAAATCTCGACCAAAGAAGAAAATTTGGGTCACAGGATGTGAAAGTGGGTGTGATGAAACCTCAAATGTCCCAGAAGCTTTAACAAACACGCCTTTGACTTGAAGATCAGTTATTTTCTGAGTCATTAAAACAAAGATGACTTGTTTTTTTGTTTTTTTTTACACCAGATGATTGTGCAGAAAACTTTATTGGATGGTCGGACATTTTTAAAAAATGGAGAAATCTGAAATCTAAAAGGAAAATGAATCGTTAATCTCTTTGTCTCCTCTGTTTCAGCAAATCCAAAGAATGCACCTTCAATGCAGGTAAAGCAACATTTATTCTTTTCCTCTTTTTCTCTTTATCTGTTGGTTAGCCTCCAGCTAGCAAAACTTATCATAGAATAGCTCCAAAAGATGGAAAGCTGTAAGACAGAGATGTTACTGGATGCTGAAGCTGCTTTTGTTTCCCAAAATCTAAGTCTAAGTGGAAACCTGGAAAAAAAATAATTTACATTTTTATTTAAATTCTAACTTATTTAATTCTATTTTATTTTCATCCTTTTTGATTGCATTGTGTTTCTGTATTTTAGCTTTTTAGTTTTTAACATATTTCCTGCATTTGTACAGCACTTTGGTCAATCCAGTTGTTTTAAATGTGCTTTATAAATAAAGTTTGAGTTGAGTTGAGAGCATCCATTAACAGATTGTTGAAGTTAAAGGTTAATGAGGCCTTTTTCTGTATATTTTGGGTTTTGTGGGGAGGACCTGGTTGGATATTTAGCGTTTCCCTCTCGATTAAGTGTGGACATTTGGTCAAATCCAGAGCGAGCTGTGCTGTGGGATGAGTGAAAGTGGGCGGAAAGCAGGTCCCTCTCAGAGCTCTTTGCAGCGTATTGACCCATCCATAAACCCCCCCCCCTCTCCCCTCTTTTTGCCGCAGAGGACGGCTACGTGCGGATGTTCCTGCGCGGGCGGCCGGTGACCATGCACGTCCCTGACCAGCAGAGGGACGGCTACAGCCTGGACCAGAAGGCGGCTCTGCCCGAGCACAAGCTCAAGCTGCAGTGGGTGTATCCTGCAGGCCGGGGGGGGGGGGGGGGGGGGGGGGGGGGGGAGTGAGATGGATGAGGGGCTGGACGCAGTGCCCGTCACACCTGCTCGTCTTCCTTCTTTTAAATTCATTCATTTATTTATTTGTTTATTTACATATGTATCTGTTTATTTATTTATGTATGTATTTTTTCATTTTTTTAATTTATTTTTTCATTTTTTCATTTATTTATTTATCTGTTTATTTATATAGGTATCTATTTATCTATATATTTTTTCATTTATTTATTTATCCGTTTATTTATATAGGTATCGATTTATTTATATATTTATTCGAATATTTATTTATCTGTTTATAAATTTATTTATTGTTTTTACCTTGTCCTGTTCAGCATTAGGGCAGCAGAACTGAAATCTGAGCACCGTGCTATGCTGAACAAAATAGCTTTGCCGAGGGAGGCTTTGTTAAGAAGCCGCCCTTTATTACCCCAAACTGCTTATTCATTTTTGTTAACAAACTTACACGTGTCCAATAATGACACAACCAAGTGCTATTGGCTAGTTACCTCTGGGCATAAACAGGCCAGGTCCTAATTCACGCAAGTGTGTGTTTGTGTTAACCTAAAGGTGTATTTAATGCTATAGAGAAAGAAAAAGAGAGAAAGGAAAATAAAGAAGAGAGAGTCTGTGGATACAGCCGGAGAATTTAAGACAAAAATATAGTTCTATAAGGAAATAAAACAATCAGTCATTTACATAGTTCATGTGATAGCCTTTTGACTTTAGCATACTATATGCAAAAGTAAGTAATTATAAACAAATTCCAGTCTGGGTATTTGACTGTGTGTGTGTTTGTAAGAATGAGAACCCGCATCCCAGGTTTCCCGGACCGTGCTCAGTTATGGTGCAGCTTTTCTTCCTTGACCGATGCTGACCAGCTACGGCTACCGCGGCCGGGACTGCCGCTCCAACCTGTACCTGCTGCCCACCGGGGAGATCGTGTACTTCAACGCCTCGGTGGTGGTGCTGTACAACACCGAGGAGCAGCAGCAGAGACACTACCTGGGCCACAACGACGACGTCAAATGGTGAGAGAGAACCCCCCCACAACCCCTCCCTGATTCTGCACCACTGGCCAGTTACATGAGTTAAGATCCACTTAGATCAGGGGTGTCAAACTCTGGCCAATACCAAATGACTCCGAGAGCTGGGTCCCGGTATTATACTATATTATACAGCACATTAACAGCTCGTACTACAACTCCCATAATGCCCTGCTGCTGTTCAGGACAGGACCCAGCAACCCCTCTGTGACAGTAGCTACACACTACAGCTATATTTTTGTCTTAAATGACCAAAAGAAAGGCAGAAAACAGGAGCGTTCTGGACAAACTTATTTTATTTTTATATTTAATTCAGAAGGCGGCAAATAGAAAAATGTTTTAAATTTTTGTTTCATAAATGAATGCCATTGATGTGTTTTTTTATTTGGAATTTGATTTTGCATGTCTCCACTATTAAGTTATATATGATTTAATAAGAGTTGCTTGTTCCATATTCGGTGTTAAAGCTAAATTAGTTTTGTTCCATATTAAAAGGTTAATTTGTTCAATCTTGTTTCATCAGGTTTTAAATTTTGGCCTACTTTGTTTTTGAGTTTGACACTTCCTAACATATGGATTCTGTAGTTGTTGTCTTTCTGTTGGTGTTTTTATTATTTGTGTGAACCTCGTATTTATTAAAAAAGTTCTCTGTTCCTGACCTGAAAAGGACAAAAAAAAAAAGGAAACCATGCAGATTTGCCAGTCACTCCACAAAAGCCGGCAATTTGCGTGTTTCGTATCTTTTCAGCCTGAGTGTGCATCCGGACATGGTTACCATAGCAACGGGGCAAGTGGCTGGAAACTCTAAAGACGGGAAGGTAGGCATTTTATTTTATTTTTTTGTCCTCCTGCTTCCTCACCACCTGGATACTCCGATCCAGCCTTTAAACTTTAATGAGGAGGAGGAAATACCTCTCAGGCTCTTCACCTTTAAGGACAAAATTCAAACTCATCTGAATTGTGTGTGTGTGTTGCCGCCCCCGTTCAGCTGCTGGCCCCCCACGTGCGCGTCTGGGACTCGGTGAGCCTGAACACGCTGCACGTGCTGGGCATGGGGGTGTTCGACCGAGCCGTGACCTGCCTCTCCTTCTCCAAGTCGGTAAGAAAGAACTCGGCTAAAAAAAACAGCCGACGCTTTTTAGCCCCATTCTTTAGTTGGAAACCTGAAAATATACCAGAGTAGATCAAGAGTACAAAAATATATCAGCTGGGCTCTAACAGACTAAAAGCTCTCTCTGGGTCTCTGGGCAAAGAGCCCTGAGATCTGTCCTATTGGCCAGTTACCTCTGGGCATGAACAGGCCAGGTCCTAATTCATGCAGATACCCTTGGAATGTGGTAACAAAGATTGGGAGACAGAGAGAGAAAAATAGAAAAAGATATTCCGTGGTTACAGCCAGAGACTTTAACACAAAATATAGTTCTAAAAGGAATAAGACAATCAGTCATTTACATAGATCATGTGATAGCATGCAATGCTAAAGTGAGTAAAATTAGCCAGATTCGGTCCTAACGGGTTTTTGTGCTTTCAGAATGGCGGGACCTTCCTCTGCGCAGTGGACGATGCCAATGACCACATCCTGTCCGTCTGGAACTGGCAGAAGGAGAAGCAGCTGGCCGAGGTCAAGGTACTGGGGCCGGCCCCGCCCTTCTCCCCGTTCTGGATGTGGAACGTGGACGAAGGGTTGTGGCTGACCCGGTTCTCCTGTCCCCGCAGTGCTCCAACGACTCCGTGCTGGCCGCCGTGTTCCACCCCATGGACACCAACCTGATCGTCACCTGCGGGAAGTCCCACCTCAACTTCTGGACCATCGAAGGCAACACCCTCACCAAGAGACAGGGCCTGTTCGAGGTCCGAGCCCTAACCCTAACCCCCAGACCGGAGGGAAAGAAGCTCAACATCCGCCAGCCTCTCTGACCTGATCTGAACCCCGTCTTTGTTTTTTCCAGAAACACGAGAAGCCAAAGTACGTGCTGTGCGTGGCGTTCGCCGAGAACGGAGACGCCATCACCGGAGACTCCGGGGGAAACATCTACGTCTGGGCCAAAGGTAGAAGCACAGAGAGACCAGAGGAGGCAGCCCTAGACGAGTAAAAGCAAAGAGGGAAAAGCAGAGATGGATAAAGTACTGGAGTAGAAGTAAAGGAACTAGATAAAAAAATTGACTTGCGTAAAAGTTGAAGTGTTCTTTCAACACCATACTTAAGTGGAAGTACTCCAATTTATTTTTACTTAAGTATTGCAAGTAGAAGTATTTCAAAAATTGCTAATCAAGTATCGAAAATACAAGTATAAGTAAAAGTGCAAGTACTGTATATATTAAAAAAAAGGCAATCAAAAGATTGATAGATATTGTTTATATAATTTCAAACGTGTGAAAGACCATACAGGTGTTTGCAAAAAACAGTAAGTTTACATTGAGTAACGAGTAACGACTCAGCCCGTAAAAGTAAAAGTATTAAATTAATCAAAACTATGTAGTGGAGTAAAAATAGTGGAAAAAATATATACTCCAATAAATTCCAGATACGGCATTTTGGTACTTAAGTACAGTACTTCAATTTCAATTTCAAAAGTTTATTTCAAACCTGCACACATTTTAGAATACATATAGTGACATATATTTAAGTAGTTCTACTTGGTTACTGAACATTTGGGAAAAGAGGGGGGTTCTGAGGCCGCTGCTCTGACCTCCAGGTGGGACCCGCATCAGCCAGGTGGTCTCGGGGGCCCACGAGGGGGGGATCTTCTCCGTGTGCGTGCTGAAGGACGGCACCATGGTGTCCGGGGGGGGCAAGGACCGAAAGGTGGTGCTGTGGGACCACAACTACAGGAAGCAGGCCGAGATGGAGGTGAGAGGCTTCCCAAAGACACACTGAGGGTTTTTGATTAAGCTAATTTACTGTCGAGTCAAATTACAGATACGTTAACTGTAGCTCTACATTAGTAATAATTATACTTATACTAATGATTATCATTCTGATAATAATAACATTTTTCGATAATATTTATAATTTTTACAGTGTTTTTATTAGATTTTTATATTTCCCAAGACACAACCTTTTATTTTTACAGTG